CTTAAGGTACTCCTATTACTAGGTCTATAAGGGGCTAGACTTACCCCTTAAAGGCTAGCTAGATCTTCCTTTTAGTAAGGAAGTAGTCTACCTAGCTTATAAGGGCCTTAAGGAAGTTTAATTCCTTTAGGACCCTTATAAGCTATTCCTTTAATACGAAATCGAAGGGGCCCTTTATATTTAATAAGAGGGTACTAGTAATAGCCTTCTTATTAAACTCCTGCTTCTTTTAGATATAGTATAGGAGGAGGAGGGCTATGTCTATAGCTAACCGCTGCTTTCGTCCCTATAGCTACGTAGGGTTTAAAAGCCCGGCCGTATTAGCTAGATAGCTTAGCCGGGTAGCGTATAGCTTTTCGAGGACTTTTCCTAAGTAGTTAAGTAGACTTATAACCCTATAGGCTTTAGGGATAGTATAGTCTTACTTATTTTACTTAGGGAGTATAATTCCTATAGCTTCCTTCTATACCTTAGGGTAGTATCCTTAGTTAAATAGGGCTTTATAGGCCTTATTAAAGACTATAGGGATAGCCTTATATACGTATTAAATAGGGAGGAAGCTAAGGGAGTCCGGGCTAGGGGCTTTCTTATTAAAAGAGCTAAAAATAACCCTCTTAATCTTAGGGTCCTTTAGCTCTAGCTAGTCCTACTTAACCGTGCCCTTACTACCTATATAGCCTAAGGGCTCTTCTTTTTCTAGGCTCTAGGGGGGCTAAGGGGAGGGCTAGGGCTAGGGTCTAGGGTCGGAAAAAGGGTTATTAAGAAGGCCTTATATTTTTCTATAAAGGTATTAGCTTTTACCTTTATCCCTTCTTTTATATATTAGATACTAAGAAGGGTAGGGTTAGCTCTAGCCTTAGTATAGGAAAAGGCTATAAAGACGTCCTTTCCTACTACTTCTATTAAGAAGCTCTCTTAGTATTGCTTTTTAGTAGCCTTAATAGTATACTTAAAGCTATTTCGGGCCTCTATAAAGCTCTTCTAGCTCTCTTTATCCTAGGCTAGCCTATAAGCTCGTTAGGCTTAGCTTAGGGCTTTCCGAAGGCATATTAGCTTATTAGTCTACTAGTACTTAGATCCCTTATAAGGCCTCTTTTTCGGTATCGCTACGTTCGAGGCCTCTATAAGGGTTCTTATTAAAAGGGAAGCTATCCCTTTTAAGTTATCTCTTTTTATAGCCCTCTCTATAGTTATAAGGAGGTCCTATTCCTTCTTAGCTAGGTATTCCGAGAATACCTTTTAGTTTACTTTCTTATAATTATAAGTAGTAGGCCTAGCTAGTAGTAGCCTATTAGGGCCCCTTAAGCTAGCTTTAAAGGCTATAGGCCTATAATCTAAGCCTATAGCTTCTAGGAAGCGGAAGTTAGCCTAGGTTAGCTATTTAAAGGGGCTATAGAAAGTAAGGTCTATAACCGAGGCCCCTTTTAAGCCTTTCCTTTAATAGGTGCCCTCTATAGCTACCTTAAGATCTATTAGTAAGGAAGCCTTATAGCGGTCGAGCTAGCTAATAAGGGCTTCTACCTTATAGGCCTTAAAGGGTTTCGTAGAAGGGTTCTAATAAGGGTAGTATAAGTTAAAGTCCCTTATTAGTAGGAAGGGCTACTATAGGAGCTAGGCTATTAGTAGTAGCCTTTTTATTATAAGGGGCCCTTACTAGCCTTAGCTAGCTAAGGCCCCTTTAACTTCTTTTTCGTTATATAGGTTAATAAGGGTAAATAGCTCGGCGCCTTTTACCCTTATAGCTTATATATTAGGATTATAAAAGAGGTCGAAGCTAGGGCTAGCTTCTATCCGAGCTTCCTTCCTCTTATAAGCTATAACCCTAGGCCTTCTAGCAAGCTTAGGAAAGTCGGTAGAAGGGATAGGGGTTATAACGTTATAGGCCGGATATTATATAGGGATATAGCTATTATCGATCTTATAGAGGTAAGGCTCTTATAATAAGATAAGGTCCGCTCTTATTTCTAGGGCCTACTCTAGGATCGATAGGTTAGCTATTTCCTACCTATTAGTATTATGCTATATAATACTATAAGGAACGGTGTTCCTACTATAAATAAAGCAGCTATAATATACTCTCCTAATTATATAAGCTAATAAGTAGTATATTAATTATAGACAAAATCTTATCCTATAGAGTAAGAATCGCTCGTTATTTTATATATTATTATATATTAAACGGGTTGCCGGTTATCGTATAATCGGGAATCGAAGGAACAGAGCTAGCTTAGAATACTAGCTAAGACCTCTTAAGAACACCGGCACGACTAACCTCCTCTAAACACGAATATTAGTAGAACTAAGATACTTCTAGATTTACTCGAGATATTACGGAATTCCCTAGTCTTAAGGCTATACGGCAGCCTAAATCTAGTCCCGAAAGGTTCTTCCGTTTAGCTATAATTATCTATATAAGATAGCATGTCCGCTAGTAGATAGATAGAGAATTATTAACTTTAATACCTCTTCTATATACTAATATACTACTAATAAATTCCGTTAAAAATCCTACCTTATACTCCTTCTTCCCCTCTATTATATAGTCTTACGTGATTCCTTGATTTCCTAAAATTCCGCTTTTACTTATATACCTTAAGAAATACTAATAGGGTTATAGTTAGGCCTAGGGGGCCTAGGGGGCTTTAAGGGCCTTAAAGGCGTAAGGGGGCTAAGGCTATTAGGTATTAGTTATTCCCTTATAGACTCCGTATTATACTTTATTAGTCGTAAGGTACTCTCCCTTATAGTTATAGTATTAGACCTTAAAGTAAGAGCAGCCTTAGCTAGCCTTATAGCTAAGGTAGTTATAGTCCTTAGTTAAGTACTTTTCCGGGTAAAAGGCATACCTAATAGGCTGCCGGCAGGTCTAGGGGTTATAGCTAAAGGAAAGGCACCTATAGTACTACGTGCGTATAGTATATTCCTTATATACCTCGACTTTAATCTATAGCCCTGCTATATAGAGGCCTTTTTTCGGTATTTAGCCCCTATAGCCTTTAAAGGGACTACGAAGACGACCGATCCTACCTTCTACGTTAGGCCTAGGGTGCCTAGCTACCTAAGCTGCCCTAGGATATCGATCCCGCTAAAGGTTTTAGCTTCTACGGTAAAGATATCGAGGATAGGGGTTTCTAAGAGGTTAGGGACGCTCCGGGCTACTAGCTTAGTCTAGCTAGTAGGAAGGTCGGCCGATTTAATAGGTAGCTCCTTAAGGTATAGGGACTACTTCTCCCGCTACTCTAGAAGCTTTTTTACCGTATATAGGGCCTTTATCGTTATAACTATATTACCTTTATTTAAGGTCGATAGAGCTAATATAGCTAGTTCCCCTATAGCCTTATTAAGCTCGTTGCGAAGCGTAATATAGTTAATAGTCGGCGTTAGCGATTCCTTCTTTAACTTTAAGATAAGTTAAAAGTCCTCTTTTACGTTCTTCTTAGCTAGGGCCTTAGCTAGGGTTTTAGCTAGGGCTTTTGCCGGAGCCTTAGCTAGGGCCTTAGCTAGGGCCTTAGGCGCCTTCTTTACGGTAACCTTAGCCTATAAGCTCGCTTCGAGGTTTCCTTAGGTAGCCCTAGGCTGCTAGGCGGCCTTAGGCTAGTATAGGGGCTGTTACGGGGGCTATTAGCGGTCCGGGGTCCTTATAGCTGCCTTCTTAAGTCCTTTTATAAGGGTCTTATAAAAGGGTTCGATTTTTTAGGCTTCCTTAAGGGCCTAGAGGGCCTGCTAAAGGAACCCCTAGGCCCGGTCCCTAGGGAAGGGGTGCTAGGGCTAGGGCTAGGTCTACTATAAGCGTTAAAGCGTAGGTCGGATAGGCGTAAGGCTAATAAGGCTACTAAGCGTAGCTCTCTTTCGCCCCTTTACTTACTTTAGGGGCTAGTTAGGCTAAAAGTAGCTAGCCTAAGGTAGGGCTAGGCTAGGCCTAAAGAGGCTAGTCTTTAGTATAGGCTAGGTATTATCTTCTATCTTAATATCCTCTAGGTCCTAGTCTCGGGTCCTAGGCCTTTCTTCTAGGGTCCTTAGAAGGCGTTAGCCTTCTAAAGCTTCTTCTAAGCGGGCCCTAGCCTCTAGGGTGCTTATTTCGACCCTTAAGTTAAGGGGGTTAAGGTTAATAGGGCCCTCCTTATATCTAGGCCGGGGTCCTAAGTCGGGTCCGGGCTTAGTCCCGTTGGCGGGGAAGAGTTTTCCACCCGTATAGGGGAGAACCTCGCCTAATTCGCAATCTTTAGCAGCATATTGCGCACCCGCTAGTTGCTGCACGAGGCTGCACTTAGGGGGGCGTAATACGCTATTCGCGACGGTTCTAGGCGTATGCGTTTTCTATGTTTTAGGCTTGGTTTCGAAAAGTTAGCCGAGAAGACGTGATCGTAGTTATACTAAGGTCTTTAAGGATGCCGGGTTAATTCGTCCTAGGATACCTAAATATCCTAGACTATAGAGGCAATTTTTATATAGGCAGGCCCTATGCTAATACTCTCGCGAAGAGAGATAGGAGAAGTGCATATAAAATACATAAAGGTAAAAGTAGAAGTAAGGGGACGGATAGGCAAGGCAGAGATATTTGAATTTTATAGGGGCAGCAATTGCGGTAGGGGAGTGATTGTTATATTGCCTTAATTGTCCTTTTTTCCCCTATCTAACGCCCCTCTTTATACCTATCTAGCATCTCAATTAATAAAGAAGATCCTATTTAAAGAAGCTACTAATGTCCTTTTAACTACCGAGCTTTTTGCCGGTTTTCCCCTCCTTTTTAGCCGTTGCCGGCATATCCGTCTTATCTCTCGCTACCTCTATAGGAAGCTATCGCTACTTATACTTCCCCTTATGCCCCTACCCTCCTTTCTGCACCTCTTTTGAGCTCCTTCTTCCTTCTTCTACACCGGGTGTTTTTAGCTTCCTTAGTCCCTCTTGCCAAGGGATATCTCCGAGAACTGCGAAATCAGGCCACGCTTCGCGACAACAGTACTTGTTTGTTAAACAAACTCCGGGCCAGTCTCTTACACCTAGCCTAAACCGCCTGCACTGCCTTCGCTACCTACACTGCTTAGGCCGTTCTGGATGCTCTCGACGTCGTTAGGTGATACGAACTCCCGAATATCAGATTGTGTCTGTCCCATTTTCGCCCGCGCAATATGGAGTGCCTCGGTTTCCTTGTCATGGATTATGTACATCATCTGCATTATAGGTGCGCCCAGGATGGAAAAGGGAGTTGCAGGGTCTGTAACAAATATCGGTAACTTGCACATCCCGTCAGAGTTTTGGCTCTGTTCGTTTGAGCTATTGCCTAGAGACATAACGGTGTGCGGCGTCATAATCAATTCAAGCGGGACCTCGACTTGGACGCTGTCATTTCCCATGCTAAAGTTAATTGCTTTCCCCAGCAGTTGATTGCATGCGACTGCATTGAGAGTTCTGTTTTGTTGGTTAATTGTTGTCCCTAAACCGTCGGCAATTGCCTGGACAGTCTGTGGTGGCAAAAAGGCACCTGGAGCACCGGAATCGATGAGAATGATAGGTGGCAACTCGTCGGATAAAATATTTCCGTCTTGCTCATTCTCATTCTGCCGGCACTTGATGCTGCTGCAGTAATTGGAATACGAGGCTCTAGGGGGTATAACTGATCGCTTGAATCCTGCTGGATGACTTGGAGTTATTCTTCTTTTGTAGTTCATTCCTGGTACGCATCCACTTCTGTCGCCGCCCGCTTGTCCGCTTGGCTGATTTGTCCTGACTGTATGGGGCTCACTCCTATTGCCTGTAGCTCCAGGGGAATTTGGACTAATATCGCCGTCTTGATCCTGGTCGTCGTTGCGATCTATTGAGGTTAAGCTTATAGCGCTGAAGTTGATAACAAACGAAGGCTTAGTGCCGTTAGGTGTCGATTCAATCGGAATTGTTATAAGTGGACCATCCATCTTCCCCAAGTCATAGCCGCCGAAGATGATGGAACCATTGTCATTTAAATCTAGGGTAGAAAGCGGTATTATAGGTTAACATTGGTATTTAAGGTGGAGAAGGAAATGGAAATGCCAAGTCATATGAACGTACCAAGACCGGCCAATGACAAGCCAAAGACATTGGATTTAATAATGCCATCGTTCTTGAGTTGGGCTGGAATATTCGGGTGGGTGTTGTTCGGATTTTTAGTGGCGGCAGATTCTCCTTGTACCGGACCCACTCCAATGATAGGAATGATTGGTTGCTTTGGCGTTGGGAGTTTTCCCGTCATACCGAGTCCCATTTGCAGATTAACGGACTGGCTGCCTGGGGAGAATCGGAAGGGGGCCTTGATAAATTCGCCTTGAATTTCGGCACCATTGCCAAAGCTGGCGTTAAGCTTCTCCCCAACTTGCTGGATACTACCCTGCTCCTTGGTTGGGTCGAAGGCTCCAGTGACAAAGTTCTTCGTGGTTGAGTTATCACATTGTTGAAGGTCAAGCTTGCAGATGTCTGAGCCCTGTTGAAAGATAAGAAGGTCGGCGCTACCGGTATCGAGCAACCCCTTCATTGTTTGCTCTCCGACTTGGAATTTCATGAAATATTGGAGAGGGTCGTCTCGCCGCTCAAGCGGCACAACGACAACTCCTTGTCCATCCTGAGCAAGAGTCTGCTTGCCAAAGAGAAGGAACAAACCGAGTACATGTATGGATACCATGGTATATCACATAGTATCTTGCTCTGTGTAGGGGCTGGGAACGTTGTTGAAATAGCGCCAATAAATTAAAAGAGATTTCTCAACGAGGGAGAGACCAAGGAGAGAAAGACTGGAATGAAGTTACACAAGAAAGTAGGAAATGGCTGTAAATCACCGACTTACATATATAGACTAACAATTCAAGGCCCAAGTTATCTATCCACCCACTTTCATTAACTGTACACCCAAAAAGTGGATTAACTGTGGCTGACGGCCGAAGAGGGCCGATACCGCCAATTTGTATGCACACATTCTCTACGATAAGTAGAGCCAGGTAGTAACAGTTCTCCTTCAACGATAAGGCACCCAAAATTGAAGCTATTCGTACTGCGCTTTCTATGCTGATGAGACTATTCTTTGGTGTTTACAACAGGCCTCCTTCTTCGAGTGCACTACGTGCCTGATCCGCTTCATCTAACTGTGATTCCAATTGATCCCATACATCCTCAAGGGCGGCATCGTCCGTGAGGCCGGCGACGAAGATGCAGTCTTGGGTCTCCCGCCGTACCGGCTGATCGTCATCATCAGAGACTGGCGTTTGACGCCCGGCTTGTTGATACGCCCGTTGCATCCGTGTGCCTGCCTCGTACGTATCGCCGTTTTCCTCGATGTGCCGCAGCCCTCGTTCCGTTGAAGTCATCGCGGCCGTTACCGTACCCGTCATCGCCGCTGGTGCCGTTGAGGAGGAGGCAGTCGTATAGCCTCAGCCCGCTCATGCCGTTCAGCGATCTCGTGATGTGACGGATCCCGCCGCGTTGATCTTGACCGCCGTGACTCTTCGAGGTTGAGTGAGCCCTTGGGGCGGCCCTTAGCCCTGATAACTTGTGGCTCGTATGGTGCCCGAGTAGGGCTTGTGCCCTGAGCGCTTGTATCGATCGGAATATACCAAAATGGGTCGAAGTCGTCGAGTGTAAGGGAGGTATTGGTGTTGATAGACTCGAAGATTCGATGGCAGCACGGTAGCCCTCGACTAGTAGCCCAATTACAAGGACATTGACCTGGCGGCGGTTTGGCCCGTTGACTTCGGGGTCTAGAGGATCTTGCGATGCTCATCTATTAGTAGCTTTAACGCATATGACGATACTCGCTCGCGGATCGGCATATACGGCGCCTGTAGGAGAACGTTGATATCTTGTGGAGGTTTCGATTCTCTATCGCTGTGATCTGAGCAGCCTGATGGCCCCAGAAGCGTTCGAATCGTTGGAAAACGGTCGTCAAATCGCCCGTACAGGACCAAAGGAACTTCTTCATATGAGAGTGAAGTCCTCGACGATCGAGGTCGTTGTACGCCCGAAGTGGCGATATTGATTAACGAAACAAGATACAAACTTCTCCTTCCAAGGCGTTAGCCACGTATTGCAACAGTATTGTATAGCTGCAAGCGGGTGGCGGCCTGGTGTCTCAAATTGGCGTAAACGTTCGTTGAAGCTATTCACATCTTGTGACTTGACGATCTCGTTCCACTCTTGTAGAAACGCTTGGAATGCCGGGGCCCGTACGACTCGATTGCCGATTTTTGATGCCTTAGGAAAAATTGCTTGCATTTCGCAACGACATTCTGGTTAATATGCCACGTGCAGAGAAGGTTAGTACTGTTTTGAAGCTCGCGAAAGCTATCTAACGCCTTAAGCAACGCAGTATCTCGGTCCGTGACAGTGACCCTTGGAAATGGGATCGACTCCTTCTCGCAAAGGACTAGCAGCAACGAGATAGCCCAATAGTAATGGGACTCGGTCTCGCCGTTCAAGAAGATAGAGGCAATAGAGAACGTTTTGTTATCTCGAGTGGCCGCGCAGATATTCAATAACGGCATATTGAATCGGTTCGTCTTGTAGGTACAGTCGAGGACGAGGACATCGTGATGCTGACGCCATCGATGGAAGGTAGCACGAGGCGCGAGAAATAGCCCAGTTAGCCGGCCCTGGGGATCACGACTATCTCGATGAAAGAAGTCGGACTTATCTAGCCGGTCGTAGAGAAACTGAAGAGGCGTACGGCCAGCTAGTTCTTCCTGACGGTGCCTAGCCAAGGCGTTACTCACGTCTTGAGCCGTGATACCGGCTAAACGAGGATCGTCGTGAACCAGGTCACGAAGCTCGCCAGCAATATCGGTCGGCCGGGTATTGTTATTAAACTTCCGGATAATGTCGTCGCGATACTTCTGGATAACAAGCGCCCGGTACTTCGGAAAGACCATCGGGTCATCAACAAGGCGATGATTGTGAACATCGTGAAGATAAGAGATAGTCCAGTAACCGCGTTTTTCCTTCAACGAGAGGCGAAATTCACAGTCTGTTTTCTGGGTTGCTGTATTGAGGCGACGACGAGAGATATGAGCAGCTTTATCCTTCCGATTTTCGTAGGGGCCGGCCTTGATACAACGAACAAGTGCAGACTTGCGTTGGCCAGCGTTATCCCGCTTCGATGTTCGAATGTGTAGGGCGTAGCCCTCAGCCTCAACAACGGTATCGGCGGCTTCCATCGCGGCCTGGAAGGTCGGGAATAGTGTCTTCGTAAGCGACTCCATGATTCGGGCTCGTAAGGGCAGAAAACGCGGTGCGAATAGCTTCAGTTTTGATGGTATTGCTGATAGTTACGGTTACAGGATGTTGTTACGCAAGCATCACGAACTGGCCAGCTGGCCGGCCGGGAATGGGCGCACCAAAATTAGCGGCATCGGCACTGCGCCTGACCCAGCCACAGTTGATCCACTTTTTGGTGTACAGTTAATAAAAGGAGGTGTATAGATAATTGGGCCCCAATTCAATACAATGGATCCTTGCGAGTCATGGTGGCGCGGGATAAGTGACAGTACGCAAATCGGTTTTAAGGAGTAGCCGACTACAGACATCGAAACGGATAACAGCGGCGAGTCTACTGATGGGTTTCAACAGCTCGTCCAACTACGGAAGGCAACATCGGAATATAGGCACGAAAAGAGGTTAGCTAAAACGGTAAATGTATCAGTCCCGGCGAAAAATACCACTAAACCACCGTACTAGGTCGCAAATAAGGATATTAGCCAGTATGTCGCAACGCATAGGCCCAGCGTAAAGAAAGTCCTGATATGACTACATAGAGAAGAAATCTGCGCAGGTACAAGTGTATAGGATGCTGTTGGCTATTATAGGCACCGCTGTTAGTAGATCACCTGAAGGATCAAGGGAGGGCCACCTGAAGGATCATTATGAGGCCATGTATCGGGGACCCATAAAGACCTCACGTATGGGGCCAGTTTGGTGCCTATGTAAGTCACCTGAAGGCCCCTCTGACTACGGCATAAATAGGGCCCTGTGGCCGATTCTTTCTAGCTAGATCATGCATCTTTATCCCTTCTTGTGCTGCCCCCACCTCATGAGTACCAGAATAACAGTCCATGACAGATGCAAAGGGACATGCCTGATAGTCAGGTGCCCCTGGACTTGTGCACAACCCGCTATTAATTATAGGCATGGCCGGAGAAGCGGGCAACCGCCTCGGAGCCGCGGGCGATCTCCAGCAGAGGTCGGCTATCGCGGCATGCATGATGATGAGGTCCATATCCAGTCAACAAGGCCGGGCACCTGACTCAGCTCGCCTTGCAAAACTGTGGGATTTCACCGGCTATAGAGGGCTGTGCTGGTTTTGCTCCACTATCGTCGGCGAAAATTTCCGCAAAGGGCGGACCCAGCGAGTGAGTTCTTCCGCTCATAATTAAACGTCCATTTACACGTTCATGTAACTGATGGTAATATAAAAGCGAAAGATGGCTCATAGAACTCCCTTCCAATCTTTGCTAAAATCTATCAATTAGATTCCCCTATATATAGAAATATCCAATACTGTCACTTCACGATGAAATTCTTCACTCTTTACGCTCTGACCTTCATTCCTGCCGTTGCTAGCCTACCTCAAGCTAGTTTAAAAGTTCGATAATTCGGTCTACTTGGACCTGTAGAAACTTTTTGGGTAAGTGCCAACAAGTACTTGAAATATCATAATTCAAACATATACGAATTCCAAGCTAATACGGAGCTGTAGACAAAATGTGCTAAGGTAGTTATTTATGTTTAACAACTTATAATTGGAAGCGGCACTAATATAGACGTAGAAATGTCCCAATGGCTATCAAGTTGCAGGAACTAGAAAATGTCAAGACTCAGGCATGCCAAGTGCCGGAGAATATTATAAATGCTCCTTGGAGACTCAAGACGTAAGTGCCTCCTCCATCTTTAATAAATCATTAACTTACATTAATATTATTATGTAGAATGCAGAGGACCCTCCGGCCCAAGAAAATCCCGGCCCAGGACAAGATCAACCCGGCCCAGGACAAGAATTTTGTGCAGGAATTAACGGAAAACAAGATATTTGTTCATCGATTTAACTCAACGCCAAGGCACAAATTATACATAAAAGAGGTAGAAAAACACCAATCTTGGATCCTTCCCCTCCATCTAGCTGAGCGAGGCCGTCTTGCTGTAACTGTCGCGAAGCGTGGCCTAATTTCGCAGTTCTCGGAGATATCCCGTGGCACGAGGGACCTAGGAAGCTGAAAAACAGGTTTTGAAGAAGGAGCTGAAAGGAGGTGCAGAGAGGAGGGTGGGGGCAAGAGGGGAAGCAGAAGTGGCGATGGCTTCCTATAGAGGTGGCGAGAGATAAGACGGATATGCCGGCAACGGCTAAAAAGGAGGGGAAAACCGGCAAAAAGCTCGGTAGTTAAAAGGACATTAGTAGCTTCTTTAAATAGGATCTTCTTTGTTAATTAAGATACTAGATAGGTATAAAGAGGGGCGTTAGATAGGGGAAAAAAGGACAATTAAGGCAATACAGCAATCACTCCCCTACCGCAATTGCTGCCCCCGTAAGAATCAAATATCTCTGCCCTGCCTGTCCGACCCCTTACTTCCAATTTCACCTTCGTGCATTTTATATGCACTTCTCGCATCTCTCTTCGCGAGAGTAACAACCCTCTAAGCCGC